CCTAGGGAGGGACAGCTTGAAAAAGAGACTTGGCAGCTGCAGCTGTCAATAACATTGGCCCATTGGGCTGGTCCAGGAGGCCCAACCCTGTTAGGTAGAGCCAGAAGGCCTCAGAGGCCTTAGTGCCAGGGCGGCACCTCAGATCATAGCTGGCCCAGGTGCCATGGGGTTGGTGGCCAGGGGGAGAGCCAGAGGTCACTGGGCACTTATGTTTTCCCTCCAGGTTTATCGCTCCAAGATGGATGGCGAGGCTGCCAGCCCCCTGCCCCGGACCCGCAGTGGCCCCCTCCCCTCCTCTTCTGGCTCTTCCTCCTCCTCCTCCCAGCTCAGTGTGGCTACCCTGGGCCGTAGCCCCTCTCCAAAGGTCTGAGGACAGTGGGTGGGGCACACGTGTGGTAGGGGATGGAGATTGCCATGCTGGGGAGAGACCAAGGCCACCCATGAAAGCCTGGGGGTGGGGGTGGGGGTGGGGGGTCTTCTGAGCCCAGGCTCAATGTTCCATTCCCTCTGCAGAGTACTCTACTCACCCAGAACGGTACGGGCAGCCTTCCTCGCAACCTGGCAGCCACACTGCAGGACATTGAGACCAAGCGCCAACTGGCTCTGCAGCAGAAGGGTGAGTGACTACACTGCCAACCCACCGCCTCTCCTGGGGGCCCCTGGATGGCTGTCACGTCCCCCCACTCCTCCATGCCCACACCTTCCACAGGATGTTTTTTCATTAACTGAGAATCTAGGCAAGAGTAGAAAGGATTTAGATTGGACACCTAAAGAGCTTCCGGGATATTCATCAAAAGCCTCCAGCACCAGAGACCAAGGGCCTGGGGGTCTGTGACATCTTTTCTAGTTGACCTGAGTAGGATCAGACATTGCCCTGTCTGGAGGCAGGGATGGAGTTGATGACTTCCTGAAATGGTTGCCTGAGATACTGGCTTGGGGGATCCAGGCGTCCTTGTTGCTTGCGTGCAGTCTGGTTGTTTTGAAAGCCCATGTCTGTGCCTCTCTCTCCTCTCCTCCCCTTTGTGTCTCTCTACCGTACCCTCTGCCGGGGCCCCCTCACGCCAGTCGAGTCGCTTCCTGCCGAGCCCTTCCCAACTGACGACCCAGCAGGTAGAGCGTTGGTCACAGAGGGCATTGCTTTGGCCAGGCCTGCCCTGCCCTGGCATCAGTATGCTGTGCCTTGCCCAGGTGCCCGCTGCCTGCAGGCAGGCTTCCAGGCTGAGCTGGGTTGGGGTGTCCGGCTGGCCTCACCTCTCCAGATGACCTCCCTTCTGCCCTCAGCTGTGCTCTGCCTTGTCCCCCCTGCTTTCTCCCCTGCTTTTGTGGCTCTTGCTTCTGCATCGCAAGGGGGTCTGCACTGGCACCTTGGGCATTCAACCATGGGGCTTCCGCCATCTCTTCCTTCTCCCTTACCCAGCAGGTAGGGTGGGTGCATGTTTCCTGCCCACCAATTAGGCCTTGTTGTGAGCTGGAGTCTGCTGGCTGTCATGCTGCCAGACCACCACCCAGGCAGGTTTGGCACCCTGTGTGGGCTCAGGATGCGGAGAGAGTGCTGAAGCCAGACTGTGCGTCTGTGGCCGGCTGTGCAGGCGACTGAAACATTTGCAGGGCAGCCAGGCTCGGAGCTGTGGGGGCCTCAGGGAACCTGGGGGTATAAGGGGTCTGCTCTGTGTTAGCCACTCCCTGCTCGCCTCCTTCCTCTGTCTGTGATGCTGCTGGTGGCCACCCCAGCCCCCTGTGGGCGGGGATCCCACTGTGACTCCTACCTGTCCCTCCTGTAGGACAGCAGGTGATTGAGGAGCAGCGGCGGCGACTGGCCGAGCTGAAGCAGAAGGCGGCGGCTGAGGCACAGTGCCAGTGGGATGCCCTGCACGGGGCAGCGTCCTTCCCAGCGGGCCCCTCGGGCTTCCCCCCACTCATGCACCACTCCATCCTACACCACCTGCCAGCTGGGCGGGAGCGTGGGGAGGAGGGTGAGCACGCCTATGATACGCTGAGCCTGGAGAGCTCCGACAGCATGGAGACCAGCATCTCCACTGGGGCCAACTCAGCCTGCTCCCCCGACAACATGTCCAGGTACCCCCCACACCTGGGCCCATTGCCTCCACCAGCTGCCTCCATGCCTCCTGAATGCACGTCCTCTTCCCCTTCCCTCCCCAGCGCTAGTGGTCTGGATATGGGCAAGATTGAGGAGATGGAGAAGATGCTGAAAGAGGCTCACGCGGAGAAGAGCCGGCTCATGGAGTCGAGGGTAAGGCTGACCTGGACTAGGGAGGCAGGGGGTAGCCGACTGCAGAGCTGCCTGCCGTGTGCCAAGGGTCTGGGCTCTACCCCAAGCCCTTCCACCCACATTAGCCCTGCCACATTCCCATGGGGGAGAAAGTGTTTTAAAAGACTGTATTTCTCAAATGGGCATAGGGAGGCTTGGCGAAATTACAGCTTCACAGCTCTTAGGAACAGAGACGGCAGCACAGTGACTGTTGTCCCACCAAGAATTTCCTGTACTGAAACTTCCAGGCTTTGTGTGTTTACTTCTGTGGACTTTTTGCAACCACAGGAGTGCTGATTGCTCTCTATCTGTGTGGCAGGTCATTGCCCTTGGGGATGGTTGGGAAAAGCGGGAATGGGGGGATTAAAGTGTAGACTAGAAGAGGAAGCAGACCGCCAAGCCAGAGCAGAGGTGTTGAGTGGGGAGCCTCAGGAGCCCAGGGGGCTCAGGGTGGGCACAGAGCTGGGGCTCAGCACAGACGGTGGTACTTCCTGGGCATAGGCAAAGGAGGAGGTTAAATAAAGGATCTGCAGAATCTATGCTGTGTCCACTATCCAAGGCACTCTGTGTCTCTTGAGGTGAGAGTGGGACCCAGGGAGTAGGGTCGGCAGCTAGAGGGATGAAACAAAGTGCTGACAGTTTGGATGGAGGACCCACCAGAAAAAACTGACTCAGGCCAGGTGCAGTGGCTTACGCCTGTAATCCCAACACTTTGGAAGGCAGAGGTGAGGGGGTTGCTTGAGTCCAGGGGTTCAAGACCAATCTGGGCAACTTGGTAAGGCCTCGTCTCTACAACAAATTAAAAAAATTAGGACTAATAGGCATGCATGTTGGTGCATGCCTATAGTTCTAGCTACTTGGAAGGCTGAGGCAGAAGGATTACCTGAGCCCAGGAGATGGAGTGCCACTGTACTCTAACCTGGGCGACAGAGTGAGACTCCAACTAAAAAAAAAAGAAGTCTCTTATTTACATCAAAGTGTGGCAAATTTCCAAGCATCTCCTGGCAAATGGGGGAAAAGGAGATTCTGCTAAGTTTTGAGCTGGAAAGAAATAGCAAATTGGAGTTAATTGTATAGAGGTCTTTATCATAGATTGAGACACATAAAGCATCCCTGACATGCTTTGTATGTAATGATTTGCTTTAATGACTTTGAAAATTCTTTGATAATGATTTCCCTAAGTTCAGTTTTGACCTTAGTTTCCAGTCAAATTTTTTTCCCATAAAACTTGAAGTTCAACAGCATATGTTTCTAATTTAGAGTTTCAAAGGGCCATAAGTTAGTGATTGGGGAAGGACTACTGAATATATTAGCTGTCCAAAAAAACTCTTTAAGCTGGGCTTGGTGGCTCAGCCTGTAATCACACGCTTTGGGAGGCTGAGGTGAGTGGATTGCCTGAGCTCATGGGTTCGAGACCAGCCTGGGAAACTTGGCGAGACCTCATCTCTACAATAAATCAAAAACTAGCTGGGCATGGTAGCGCGCGCCTGTAGTTCCAGCTACTTGGGAGGCTGAGGCAGAAGGATCGCCGGAGCCCAGCAGGTCGAGGCTGCGGTGGCCGGGAGTGGCCATTACACTCCAGTCTGAGTGACAGAGTGAGACTCAAAAAAAACCAGTTTAATTCTTTCCTCCTGGTATCAGTGATGAGCATTTATGCACATGACCTGATTTAGTTTTCTTTTTTTTTTTTTGAGTTGGAGTCTTACTCTGTCGCCCAGACTGGAGTGCAGTGGCCGCTCCCGGCCACCGCAGCCTCGACCTGCTGGGCTCTGGTGATCCTTCCGCCTCAGCCTTCCAAATAGCTGGAATTACAGGCATGCGCTACCATGCCCGGCTCATTTTTTTATTTATTGTAGAGATGAGGTCTCGTCAAATTACCCAGGTGGTTCTCGAACCCGCGGGCTCAGGCAATCCACTCACCTCAGCCTCCCAAGGCGCGGATTACAGGCTGAGCCACTGAGCCCGGCTTCTTTTTTTATTTTTTGAGTTGGAGTCTCTGTTACCCAGGCTGGAGTGCAGTGACATGCTCATGGCCACCCCAGCATCGACCTGCTGGGCTCTGGTGATCCTTCTGCCTCAGCCTTCCATGTAGCTGGAACTATAGGCACATGCTACCACACACGGCTAATTTTTTATTTATTGTAGAGACGAGATCTTGCCAAGTTGCCCGGGCTGATCTCGAACCTGCAGGCTCAGGCAATCCACTTGCTTCGGCCTCCCAAAGTGCTGGGATTACAGGCTGAGCTAATGAGCCTGGCCTGATTTAGTTTTCACTGCAGACCCAGGAGTTGGCACTCTTCATTCCTTCAGATGAGGCAAACTAGGCCTAGAAAGTTTAAATGGTTTTGTCAGGGTCACAGAGCCCATAGAGGTGGCAGAGCCAGGGTTTGACAGGACAGTCACGATTTAAAGTATTTATCCTTAAGCAGCAAGGGCTCATGGAGAGGATGGGCTTTGAGGATGGTGCTGCCTTGTGCCAGCCTGTCCTCTGAGTGGATGCCTCCTGCAGCTCTGCCCAGCATGAGGAGGGCCAGTGGGACGGGGCTGGGGGTGGTGGTGGCAGAGGGTGACTGCTGGTCCTGAGCCCTGGCTTTGGGGGCAGGAGCGGGAGATGGAACTGCGCCGGCAAGCCCTGGAGGAGGAGCGGCGGAGGCGCGAGCAGGTGGAACGTCGGCTGCAGAGTGAGAGCGCCCGGAGACAGCAGCTGGTGGAGAAGGAGGTCAAGATGCGGGAGAAGCAGTTTTCCCAGGTGAGTGAATAGTGAGTTATGGTGGTGGTTGGCTTGAGGGTGAGGGCTGTGGGGAAGTGGGGAGATCCCAGGGTTCCTCTGCTGTGCTGTAAAACCTGCCCTATTCCAGAAAAGACTGCGGATGGCTTAGCACAAGCAGAATCCTACCTGGGGCTCACTGGCCCAATGAAACAAACTCACTGGGACTTGTTCGAGTTAGAGTGTATGTATGTGGGGGGAGGTAGTGGGTAGGTTGTGAGGATTGACAGGCCACCTTGCAGACATCTGGGATCAGAGAAGAGGGTCTGGACAGCCCCCCAAAGATGGAAGCTGAGAGTCAGGAATTAAGGTGGCTCCCCTTGGCCTCTCTCCAGGGCCTCATATCTGCTTTGTGAGCTGTGCCACGCCCTCCCACCCACTTCCCCTCCTGCTCTCCTGTGTGGGAAACCTCTTGGTGTCAACCCTCATCCCACAGGACTTTTCGGTTCTTGTTTTCACCATCAGTGGATGAGCTCACTCTGACTTTTGCTTTGCATCTGCAAGGGAGAATTGTACTAGTTTCTCTTGGGACAGAAATCACTCCTTGCACAGAAACCAGCCTTGCCCTTTCTCCTGAAAGAGGAGACTTGAGCAGAACAGTTGAAAGTCGAAGGAGAAATTGGGTTGAGCAGGGAAGTCTCCCATGTCTCTAGTCCCAGACCCTTCCTTGCCCTACCATGAGAACCGGTAGGACTCAGATAGGCTGTCCCTTTAGATTGGGTCCCCATAGGCTCCTCTAGGGTGGAGGTCCCTTTACAGCACCCTCATTTCCTATGATGCAGCAACATAAATTCGAAGGGGGAGAATTTGCCTGGATTAGGTTTGAGAATTAAGAAATAAGGAGCAGCTGGGCTCGGTGGCTCAGCCTGTAATCCTGCGCCTTTGGGAGGCTGAGGTGAGTGGATTGCCTGAGCCCATAGGTTCGAGACCCTCCTGGGCAACTTGGTGAGACTTTATCTCTACAATAAATCAAAAAATTAGCCAGGTGTGGGTAGTGCGCGCCTGTAGTTCCAGCTACTCAGAAGACCGAGGTGGAAGGATCGCCGGAGCCCAGCAGGTTGAGGCTGTGGTGGCTGGGAGTGGCCACTGCACTCCAATCTGGGCGACAAAGTGAGACTCCAACTCAAAAAAAAAAAAAAAGAAAGAAGGAGCAACTCTGAGACTTTTACCTCTGTGGTTGGAATAGCTGCCAATGCCTAGTTTTCTTTCCGGCCTAAGTCAGTGACTACTCTGGGACTCTCTCCTTTGGAAGCAGAAGGTGGTGTCAGCAGAGTCTCGCTCCTCCCTTATCCCTCCAGACTCCTCTGTACATGCTCCTTGGCCTGAGTCCTGAATCACAACTCTGCCATCCCACTCTGCCCACCCTCAGACTGTTTTCAGGCATTGCGGAGGGGCCACCAATGTCTGATGTGGGAAGAGGGTGGGATCAGCTGTCTTTGGGGTTGTGTGTTTGTGTGTTGGCTTTTTTCTTTTAAATTGAGTCGGGGCCAGGTGCGGTGGCTCATAATCCCGGCACTTTGGGAGGCAGAGGCAAGAGGACTGCTTGAGTCCAGGGGTCGAGACCAGCCTGGGCAATGTGACAAGACCTCATCTCTACAATAAATCCAAAAATTAACTGGGTGCGTTGGTGTGCAACTTTGGTTCCAGCTACTTGGAAGGCTGAGGTGGAAGGATCACCTGAGCCCAGCAGGTCGAGGTTGTGGTGAGCCATGATCATGCCACTGCATCCCAGCCTGGGCATCAGAGTGAAACTCTGACTTAATTTATTTATTTTTTTATCATTTATTTAATGTCTTCTAGGCTGGGGTGTAGTAGCACACTCATGGCCACCACCATGAGTAGCTGGGACTACTAGTGTGGGCCACCAGACCTGTCTGGCTAATTAAAAATATTATAGAGATGAAATCTCACTATATCGTGCAGGCTGGTCTTGAACTGGACTCAAGCAATCCTCCCTCTTTGGCCTCCCAAAGTGCTGGGATTATAGGCGTGGGCCACCAGGCCCAGCCTGTTTTTCTTTTTTACAATTAAAATTTTTTTTGGTGGAATTGTGGTCTCCCACTGGTCTCGAACTCCTGACCTCAAGCTGTTCTCCTGTCTCAGCCTCCCAAAGTGTTGGAATTACAGGCATGTGGGTCCTTCCTCATTCCTGCTTCCCACAATGAGCCACTGTGCCCAGCCTTTTTAAAATAATGTGTGGTGAGCTGGGCGTGGTGGCTCACACCTGTAATCCCAGCACTTTGGGAGGTGGAGGCAAGAGGATTGCCTCAGCCCAGGGGTTTGAGACCAGCCTGGGCAACATGACAAGACACTGTTTCTACAAAAAAAAAAATCTGCTGGGCATGGTGACACATGCCTGTGGTTCCAGCCGCTTGGAAGGCTGAGGCGGAAGAATCATCTCAGCCCACCAGGTTGAGGCTGTGGTGGCCATGAGCATGCCACTGCACTCTAGCCTGGGCAACAGAGTGAGATTTTAACTCAAATAATAATAATAATAATAATGTGTGATGTTTCCTTTTCTTGCCATTTTAATGTTCTTCTAGGAAAGGAAGAGTAGAAAAATATTCTAGTTGGCTGAGAATTCCAGTTAGTATCAGAGGTAAAATAGACCTTAGTGATGATCTGATTCAAAGCCCTTGTTTCACACGTAAGGAAACTGAGGCTGAGAGAAGGGATGTGACCCAACAAGGTCCCATGGGAAATCAGAGACCAGATTTCTTTTTTTTTTTTGAGTTGGAGTCTCACTCTGTCGCCCAGACTGGAGGGCAGTGGCCACTTCCGGCTACCGCAGCCTCAACCTGCTGGGCTCTGGCGATCCTTCCGCCTCAGCCTTCCAAGTAGCTGGAACTACAGGTGCGCGCTACCACACCCAGGTAATTTTTTTATTTATTGTAGAGATGAGGTCTCACCAAGTTACCCAGGCGGGTCTCAAACCCACGGACTCTGGCAATCCACTCACCTCAGCCTCCCAAGGCGCGGGATTACAGGCTGAGCCACCGAGCCTGGCTGAGACCAGATTTCTTATTGGGCTTCTCCTCCCAGAGCGTGTTCATATCTGGCTTCTTGATTTATTCTGTTTAGACCAGGAGGGAGAGGAGGAGCAGGGCCAAGACAGGGTGGCTGTATCTTGGTCACAGATGGGATAAGTAAGGCATAGAGCCACCTAGCAGTTTGCTCAGCCCTAGGAAGCATCAGCACAGGCATGATAAGGCTCCACTTTTTTTTTGAGTTGGAGTCTCACTCTGCCTCCGAGGCTGGGGTGAAGTGGCACAATCACGGCTACCACAGTCTCAACCTGCTGGGTTTAGGTGATCCTTCTGCTTCAGCTTTCCAAGTAGCTGGAACTACAGGAATTTGCCACCATGCCTGGCTAATTTTTTAATTTATTGTTGAGATGAGGCCTTGCCAAGTTGCCCAGGCTGATCTTGAACTCATAGGCTCAGGCAGTCCTCTTGCCTCAGTCTCCCAAACTGCTGGGATTACCGGTGTGAGCCACCATGCCCTGACTAATTTTTTTTTTTTTTTTTTGAGTTGGAGTCTCATTCTGTTGCTCAGGCTGGAGTGCTCACGGTCACCACAGCCTCCACCTGCTGGGCTAAGGCAATCCTTCCACCTCAATCTTCCAACTAGCTGGAACTACAGGCATACGTCACCATGCCCGGCTAATTTTTTGATTTATTGTAGAGACGAGGTCTTGTCAAGTTTCCCAGGCCGGTCTTGAACCCATGAGCTCAGACAGTCTTCTTACCTCTGCCTCCCAAAGTGCTGGGATTATAGGCATGAGCCACCATGCCTGGCCAATTTTTTTTTTTTTTTGAGTTGGAATCTCATTCCATTGCCCAGGCTGGAGTGCAGTAGCACACATGCTCATGGCTACCCCAGCTTTGACCTGCTGGGTGGCGATCCTTCTGCCTCAGCCTTCCAAGTAGCTGAAACTATAGGCATGTGCTACCACGCCCGGCTAATTTTTGATTTATTGTAGAGACGAGGTCTCGCCAAGTTGGTCTGGTCTTGAACGCCTGGTCTGGTCTTGAACCCGTGGGCTCAGGCAATCCATTCACCTTGGCCTTCAAAATGCTGGGATTGCAAGTGTGAGCCACCACGCCCAGGCAATTTTTTTTGTTATTTATTTAGAGACAAGGTTTCACCAAGTTGCCCAGGCTGGTTTGAACCTCTAAGCTCAGGCAATCCTCTCACCTTACCCTCCCAAAGTACTGGGATTATAGGTGTGGGTCACCACACCTGGCAGATCTCCATTTTCGCCATAGCCCTGTGAAACCAGAGTGACAGCCATGGGATAGGCAGAGGGTGATGTTAGGTTGTTGGGACCCAGACAGAGGGACCTGGAATGATGGGGGAAGAAAGGAGACGCTGCTGACCCTGCCTTCTGCTCCCAGGCACGACCCCTGACCCGCTACCTGCCAATCCGGAAGGAGGACTTTGACCTGAAGACCCATATTGAGTCGTCAGGCCATGGTGTTGATACCTGCCTGCATGTGGTGCTGAGCAGTAAGGTACAGGGTGTGCATGGCCTTAGGGCTCTGGGGAGAGGGAGGACCCCCAGGCAGTGGTCCTTGAAATAGCGGCCTCGGTTCCCGCCCCGGCCTAACCGGGTCTCTGTCCCAGGGCCTGGTGTGCTGGCCTGAAGAGATGTTGTGGACAGCCTTCCATGAGTTCAGGCACAGGCAATGGCTCACACCTAAGCTTTCAGGGTTGCATGTGTGGGTCCTTCCTCACTCCTGCTTCCCACCAGGTCTGCCGGGGCTACTTGGTGAAGATGGGCGGCAAGATTAAGTCATGGAAGAAGCGCTGGTTTGTCTTCGACCGGCTCAAGCGCACACTTTCCTATTATGTGGGTGAGTTCCCACAAGGCCACCCTGGGGGCCAGCCAGAGCCAGGAACCCCAGGCTCTGTCACCCAGGACAGATGGTCTTCTGGAAGGGGGCCACGCTTTCAAGTAGGGAATCAGGGTCTTGACCTGGGCCTTGTCCTGCCCTCCCTGGAAATGTACAGAGTGTACCTGGTTCACCTTCATTTATGGGTTCATTCATTCATTCACTTAGCAACATTGCTGAGCATCTAGTAAGTTCCAGGTACTTTTGTAGGCTCTGGTGATAAGTGAGGTGGCCACAACTCTCTTGGAGTATTTTATAGTCAGGCAGATACTGAACAAAGAGTTAAAGCAAAGCGTGATGGGTATGTTGCTGAGAAACACTGGGATATGGCGGGAGCATGGGGTCCTATGATCTGGGTTGGGCTGGGACTCCCCCCTTGGACAAGTTCCCTCAGAGACTCCAAGGCAAGCAATTGAGCAGGGCCAAGTATTGCTCAGGACAGACCAGGGACAGGCCGACTGACCCATTTTGCTTCCTCAGCTCCCTCCCCTCCAGCTTAGCTTAGTTTCCCATCCCTGGAACTCCCTCTGAACTTTTCTCCCTGGGAGTGTGGGATGCTGTGTCCTACCCTAGTCTGGAGAAGGTAAGGTATGCTGCAGTAGGTATGTGGCAGTCAGTCCTGAAATCCCGGTGGCTTAAAGCCACAAAGTGTCCTTCCTTTCTCTCGATGTGTCCATCGTGCACCATGGGTTGGTGGGGGCTCTGCTCTGTATCAGTGTTGTCTCTGCTTCAGAGCATGCTTTCCAGAACATTGCTGGCCTCGGTGGCAGAGCGAAAGAGAGGCTTAAGTGAGCCTTGAATTGGCATTAAATGCCCCAGCTGGGAAGTGACACAATTCTTGTCTCTCCACAAGTCACTGGTGAGGCTGTCTGCCAGTCACAGTCTCACCGAGCCACAAAACCAGGAAGAACAGTCCTGCCAGGAGCCTGGAGGGGGAAAGGGCTGCGGAGTTCGGTGCCACAGATGCTCAGGCCTGGAGTGCCGCTGCCCCATCACCGGATCCCTGATCAAGTGCCACCCCTTCTAAGAAGCCTTTCCTGACTTCTGGGTCCCGGGTGTGGGGGGCAAGGGAGAAAGGCACATGTGTCCCCGTGTTTCTATCTGGTCTGGGAAGGTGGGGGAACTTGGTCCAGGGAAGAAGAAGCAGACCTGGAGAGAAGAGTTCCCTTTCAGGCGGTTGAGGCTGAGGAAACTTTGGAGCATTTAGGGTTAGGAAGAAGGTCAGGATTAGAGGGAATGTGATTGTCAATCAGCTGGAGTACAAGAACAATAGCGGTTCATATCTATTGAATACTTACATGAGCTAGGTGCTATGCTAAGCACTTCACATGCATCATCTCACTGCTCTTTGTAACCATTCTATGAGGGCAGCACTGTTTTGGTGCCATTTTACAGATGAAGAAAATGAGGGGGCTGGGCTCGGTGGCTCAGCCTGTAATCCCGTGCCTTTGGGAGGCTGAGGTGAGTGGATTGCCTGAGCCCGTGGGTTCGAGACTCGCCTGGG